AAATTTTTTTAATCATTTTCATTATAAAGGTCTTTTGCTTCATTGGTTATGCTTATTTTTTTGAAGCTGTTGAAAATGGAGTTGTTTTCCTGATTTCCCTCTCTGCTTTTGCACTGTTGACATACAGAAAGGCTACTAATTTTTGTGGGTTTATTTTCTGCCTTGCTGCTTTACCATAGTTAGTGATTGGCTCTAGGAACTTGGGGATGGAGTCTTTTAGGTCCTTTAGATATAAGGTCATGTCATCTGCAAGTAGGGATAATTTGATTTCTTTCTCTATGTAAATCCTTTTTATGTCTTTTTCTTGCCTTATTGCTTTAGCTAGGAATTCCACTATATTTAAGAGGAGTGGGGAGAATGGACATTCTTGCCTTGTTCCTAATTTTAGAGGAAATGGTCTTAGTTTTTCACTGTTCAGTATGGTGTTGGCTGTTGGTCTGTTTTATTTAGCCTTTATTATTTTGAAGTATGTATTTCTTCTATTCCTACCATCTCCAGAGCTTATAGTATGAATGGAGGTTGAATTTTGTTGTTCTGCATCTATTGAGATGATCATGTGGCTCTTGTCTTTGGCTCTGTTAATGTGATATATTACATTTGTTGATTTACATATGTTAAACCAGCTTTGCATCTCTGGGATAAACCCACTTGAACATAATGATTTTTTTTATTAGTTGATGAGTTCTGTTGATTAGTATTTTTTAAAAGAGCTTTGTGTCTGTGTTCCTCAGAGAGATTGGTCTATAAGTTCTCTTTTTCCCACTGGATCCCTATCTGGTTTTAGGATGAAGTTGATCCTGGCTTCATAAAATGAGTTTGGAATTGATCCTTATAGTTCATGGAAAAGTTTGAGGAGTATGGGTGTTGGCTCAACTTTACAAGTCATACAGAATTCAGCTGTGAATCCATCAGGAACTGGACTTTTTCTTATTGGAAGACTCCTGATTATTTCCTCAATCTTATTGCATGTCATAGGCCTGTTTAAGTGGTTTATATCTTCTTGGGTCAGCATAGGCAGTTTATAGGTCTCTAGGACTTTATCCATTTCTATTAGATTTTCCATCTTATCTGAGTATAGATTTTGAAAGCAGTCCTTCATAATCTTTTGAATTTTTTGGATGTTTGTTGTAATATTTCCTTTGGCATTTCTAATTTTGTTGATTTGAGTCTCTTCTTTTTTCATCAATATAACTAGTGGTCTATCAATTTTATTGACCTTTTTCAAAGAACCAGCTTTTCGTTTCGTTGATTTTATGTCTCTATTGATTTAGTTGATTTTTTTTTTGTTTTTTGGTCCGGTTGTGGGGCTTGAACTCAGGGCTTGGGGCTGTCCCTCAGCTCTTCAGCTCAAGGTTAGCGCTCTACCACTTGAGCCACAGCGCCACTTCCGGCTTTTTTCTTTTTGCTTATGTGGTGCTGGGGAATCGAACCCAGGGCCTCAGGCATGCAAGGCAAGCGCTCTACCACTGAGCCACTTTCCCAGCCCTGATTTAGTTGATTTTATGTATAGTTTTCTTAGTCTCTCATTGATTTCTGCTCTAATCTTTACTATCTCTGTCCAGTAGCTTTGAGTTTGGCTTGCTCCTGTTTTTCTAGCTGCTTTAGTTGCATCATGAGGTTAAATTCATGCTTTGTTTCTGTTTCCTTTATGTATGCACTTAGAGCTATGAACTTTCCTCTCAATACTGCTTCTAGGGTTCTGGTCTGATGTGTTTTTATTTTCATTGAATTGTAAGACATTCATGATTTCCTCCTTTATTTCTTCAGTGACCCATGTGTTGTTCAGCAGTATGTTATTCAGTCTCCCTGTATTTGAGAGTTTTCTGCAGTATGTTTTGCTGTTGAGAACTAGTTTAATTGCATTGTGATCAGATAGGATACAAGGAGTTATCTTGATCCTTTTGCATTTTCTCAGGCTTGTTGTGTATCCTAGGATATGGTGCATTTTGGAGAATGTTCCATGGGTTTCATTTGGGAATTTAAAATTTATCTTTTTTTCCCAATCATTGTCATGATCTTCTTTTGCTTTCTTTGATGAGTTAAATGACACATTTTCTTGGAACTCTAGGTTAGCTTCATCTCACTAGTTAAGTTTATCTGTTGCTTTTTTTCCTTTTTAATATCAGTTGTGGGGCTTGAACTGAGGGCCTGGCTGCGGTCCCTGAGCTTTTTTTGCACAAGGTTAGTGCTCTATCACTTTGAGCCATAGCACTACTTCCAGTCTTCTGGTGGTTAATTGTAGGTAAAAGTCTCATGGATTTTCCTGCCCTGGCTGGCTTTGATCCTCAGGTCTCAGCCGCCTGAATGTATCTGTTACTTCTTTTTATAAATTTCATTTCTTGTTCTTGTAATGGTAGAATATAGAACTAGGGGTTTAATTAACACTCATTTTCTTGGAATGCAAAGCTTAGTTGAAAAGCTATTCAGTATCCTTATACCTCTGACTGTGAATAGAACCTAGGAAAGGTCAGGTTGCTCAAGAAGGCCTTTTCTTTATTGATTTGATTATCATTTTATTATGGCATCTCTGTTGTTGCTTTCTCTTTTTACATTGGGACATTCAGTGTCTAGACAGGGCCAAGCCTTAGGTTTCTGAAGTGAGGTGCAAATTTTAAGAAGCAGTTAGTCTGAAGGCTAAGCATGTACAGGTTGGTACCTGAAGAATGAGCACCCATAAATTCTCTACCCTGAGCACCTCACTTTTTTCATCCCACTTGCTGCAATGTCACTGTGTTTTGGAGTGTAATGTTTTTAACTTTATAAGGTCATGGCATGTTCTTTCCTATTTCCTGCCTCCTCCATCTCTCCTTTTGTTACATATAACATCTGATGCAATATTTAACTTTCCCCTCATCACTGTGGTCCTGAATCATGACCTCTGCTCTATTTCTCCAGCTCTTTTTCAGATATATTAGTCGAAATTCCAAAAAGTCATGGGTTTTCTCTTTGTTCCTATATTACATTTCTTTCTAGAAGGCAAATCTTGAAGGGATTTTTCTGAGTACATGAATACAGGTCTACATGTAATTGTGTATTTGTATGCATAGTCTGCAATTTAAATTTTGTACTAAGTGCTAGGAAAAAAAAGAGCTTGTTTTAAAGCTTGTTTCAAGCTGTTAGACCTTCTTCTGGGCAATTAGAATAATAAAATGCAATTTAATACCTTTTTCCTTTCAAGTTGCCAGGTACATTTATAAGCCACATGGCTTTCCCTGGCTGGGGAATAAGTAAACTCATGATAGCTATGGTGAAAATATCCTAAAATGTTAATATTTAGAAGGAAGTAAATTATGATAATCTTCCTGAGATCCATTTAGGAATACCATGGATTTTTCTATATTCATAACTTCCTGAGAAAGGACAGCAATGCCTAGTAAGGTGAGGTAAGAGTACTTAGTAGCATTTTTAGGATCTTGCAGAGAACAAGATGTGGTTTCTATAGTGAGATGGTAAGTTCTGGCAGAACAGTGAAAGAACCCTGGTCCTTGACCACAAGAAACACAGTGGTTGCTTACACAGTAGCTAGGAGACTAAGTTGTGGGTTCAGCAAAGGCATGTGCAACTAGTATCTGCTTTATGTTTACACAGAACTTGTATCACTAAATGGAAATAAGGTTCCACCAGTAATGAGTCATTGGACACTCAAGTTTTCAGGAGTTGTGGGAAGATATATCCCAGTGGATTTTGTGCTTGTGCAGATAAATGTAAAAACTGGTTTTATTGCTGTCAAAGAGAGAGAGAGAGAGAGAGAGAGAGAGAGAGAGAGAGAGAGACAGAGAGACAGAGAGAGAGAGACAGAGACAGAGAGAGAGAGAGAGAGAGAGAGAGAGAGAGAGAGAGAAACCCAGGCTAACGTAAAATGGTCTCAATTGATATGTAGACTCTAGGTCAGCATTTGTTCAATTAACAGTGTCAAGATGGCGGCCATGCTAGGAGGTTTTACTGTTCAGGTGTGCATAGGCTAAGTATTACTGTGTGTCTTGCCTTGGGTACCCCAAAAGCTGGCCTTATAACAAAGAACTGAGTGTTGAACAGAAGTTTATGTGGTAGGTGATTATAGGAAACTCTACATTAAGCAGAGCTGGGAATTGGGACAAAAGAGGAAAGGAAGTGGATGAAAGGTGTGTTATCAAGCCAGTTTTCACTGTGGGGAACGGTGAGCCAGAGAAAATGAACGGTGAGCCAGAGAAAATAGTATGTCTTGAGTTAACTCAGGCTAAGGGGAAAAGGAAATAGGTAATTGAGTCAACTTGTTAGAGGCATTAATTCTCGGGTACCTCTGCTTGCCATATGATTGTGTTCTGGCCTTCAGAAGGATATCTCCTAGGTGATGAGATGCAGAGTTAGGTGGAATTAATGAGCACTGACTGCACTGATGAATGGTGATATATCAGAGTGGGAGAAGTGGCTTTTATTCACATGGGTTGGCTTTGAAGTTTTCTAAGGTTCCAATCAGGAGACAATACTCTCCTTATACCATTGTACTCTGGTATTTTCAGGGCTGTAAGCTAAAGTGTAAAAGGCCAGATAAGAAAAAGGCAGCATAGAGCCAGACCCTGGTGGCTCACACCTGTAATCCTAGGTACACAGGAGGCTGAGATCTGAGGATTATGATTGAAAGCCAGCCCAGGCAGGAAAGTCAACGAGACATCTCCAATTAACCACTGGAAAAGCAGAAATGGAGCTGTGGCTCAAAGTGGTAGAGCACTAGCCTTGGATAAAAAGGGCTCAGGGACAGCACTCAGACCCTGAGTTCAAGCCCTGCAACCAAAAAACAAAGAAAAGAAAAGGCAGTATCTCAGAAAGCTGATAAACTTGGAAATAGCTAGGTTAAAAAACCCAGAAGGAAGGATAATTTTTCTGTTAGTGTGTGTGTTTAGTTCTGAGTGCTTGCTAAGTAAGTACTATTGTGTGAACCATTTAAGAACTATCTGTTGTTCCTGCCCATGGATGCTCAAGTAGTCAAAGGAACAGAGTTGGCAGCAGTTGCCAATGCTTACGTGGTCATCGTTCATTATAGCCTCCTCCACACAGAGCTGGTTCTCTTGTAAGGTCTTCCCCTGTCTCTTGCAGACATCATGAAGATTCTTGATGTCAAGTTGAAGGCTTAAGAGCTTGCTGTTCAGGCCACTCACTTCTCTGTCTCTCTCCTGGACCTAGGCAGACAGAAAAATAAAAAGCATCAATGATAAACTATCAAGAACATGCTAACTTTCCTTCACTTAACAGGTTGACAGAGACTTTAAATTCTGGTGAAATTTGTCCATCAAGCCTTTGCTGCTATTACTCATCCTGTGTAACATTTATACAGTATCCATTTGCAAGGTGTCTAAGTGCTCTGACTTATTCAATTACTTATTTATATTAATTAATCTTTACCACAGTGCTGTGGATGCGGATGCATCAGACAATTCTGTTTCTGTGCCTAAAATAATTCCAGGTACCCAGTGAACTGTCTATAAATATTAATGGTTCTGCCACTGATGAAATGAACATATTGAGATGTGAAATGAACCTGTCAGGACTGTAGTAGGATTGGTGGTGGAGCCGATGTAGGATTCTGATGTCTCTTAACTTTCCCTTTTACCATTAACCAAAATCTTCCTCATCTATAAACCTAGTGGTTTTCCTTGTAGGGGTATACCAATGGGAACAAAAAATGAAAATTTTAGCTGATTAGGTAAGATATCTGTCTTTGATTGTGATTGAAAATGATAAGTGTTGCAAGGCTAAAATGGAAAGTATGGAAAGTGATGGAGCTCAAAATAGTGTGTGCAGTCTAGCAACATAGCATGGGCTAGGGTGGGGGCAGGAAGCAGAGCTGGTAAGATGGGGTGGGTGGGACTCCATCACCTCATGATTTCTGTGCTATGGATGCCCATAGTGTGAGGAGGAGTTAGGAGAAGTCCTCTGTGGACCTGTGCAGTGCTTCAAATTCTATCAGTGTGCTGCTTTTTCTCATATTTGTGATGCTAGGCATTACTACCTTGGACTTTTAGGCCTTGGATCTGACGCTGTTGAATGCATGTGAGGCGCCTGACTCCTTGGAAGTAGCTTCTTATGTGAGGAGTTGTCATTGATTAGAGAAACACGCCCAAGAGAAACTAGCAAGAAGAAAGGGGGAAAGAAGGAAAGGTGAGGGGAAAAGAAAGCAGGCAAAGGTATGATTTTCAGGCAAAGTCCAGTGGGTCATTCTAGTCTGATCCCACATGGAACTCTGGAGCCTATGTGATATGTGAGAATCAATCCTGATTGGCAGCAGTTAAAGCTGGGCTGTCAAACCTGACATCAACCAGTCAATGTGCTAGGGCTCTCCCTGAAATGTAAGTTCCCAAGGACATCCAGTTAAAACTGGACCCTAAAGGGTTCTACAGGCAAAGTGAGCTCAGAAGTCTAGGAATAATTCTTCTGAGAGAGAAAGCAGGATAAGGGCACAGAAGTGGCTCAGATCAGAGCTGTCTTAAGTCTGGTTAGCAGCAGGGTCAGGAAAGTGCATTCCACATTCTCCCCGTCCTTATAACCAGTGCTCACCTCCATTGCACATGGACTGGTCTGGCTTCTGAAATAGATGGGCTACATACCACACATTCCCAAGGGAACTGGAGACCTGATATGGACATCATAAATCAAGCCTTAGTGGACAGGTCAGTTTAAGAGACCTTTGTACAAGGCCAAGGGGGAGGAAGGTGGGCAGAGGACAACGTGAGAATCGGACACTGCAATGTCAGAGTATTCGGAATTGAGAAGGTTTCCCAGAAGTGCTGCTGTCTCAGCTGATTTATTCCTTCATTTCCATTTAGTACCTGGATTTTTTTTTTTACCACTTTACAGTTTAATTAGGTTAACGGCATGGCTCTGTCATTAAAAGAATTTCATTATCTCAAAACTCTCCCTCCTCCTCTCACTCCTGTCCCTCGTTCCTCACTTTCAGAAAAATAACAATGGATGTCAACTGCCCTAAGCATGTAATTACCATTAAGACAATTACCAGGGACTCTCTTAAGAGAATACTTGTAGTTTTTTTTTTAAACATGGAATGCAGACACTGTTTTCTAACTTGAAAATGAAATTCTCGACTTGATAAGCAGTCGCTACTTGATTTAATGCTTTGGAACTCTTTTCTCCTGATTACCACATCAGGGGGAGAGGGTACGAAGCCACACTAGAGAGGGAGACTCTTAGGGTCTCCTCCATTCTAGGTATAGAACCATTTTTCCCTCTTAGGCATCTATGAAAAAGTTGGTGACAGTGCCAAACTTGCCCAATGCTCTGCATTCTTGCTTTGATGCACAATATATGTGTCTTAAGGCAAAAAATCAGGTCACCAGATTGTCCCATAAGGGTTCTAGCGCTCTGTAGGCTAACAAAAGACCAATGACATACAACTTGAGCCTCTCTAAGTTAGCAGTTAAATGTTATCTTTCAGGGCTTGGAAAAAATTATATTAAGTGAAGTAAGCCAGGCCCAAAGAAACACAGGTCCCATGGTTTCCCTTATTTGCAATATCTAGTATATGTCTGAGTCAAGCAGAAAAGGTCAGATAAGGTGATGTTAGGGAAATGAACCCTAAGATATGTACTCAAATGTTTTTTTTTCTTTCATGCGATTGTTTCTAACACATTTATAAGATTATTCCTTTGTTGCTTTGTATGTCCCTCCCCCACGGTATAACCCCTGCTTTCACTGTTATTTGATGTCGGTATAATTTGTGGAGGGGAAGAGGAAAAACGAATCATTTAAATAGGGACAGAGGTGGACCCATTGCAACAATGAGATGTACAAGTCATTATATCGAAAACGAACTTTACAACTTAGGTCGGGGGTGGGCAGTGGGGAGGATTGGGTGTGGGCCCTGGGGGAGGATGGGAAGGGATGGGAAGGGGAAACAAAGGAGGAGGCTACAATGCTTGATAGGAAATGTACTCATCTTGCCCTTGTAATTGTAACCCCTCTATACAGTATTTTCACAATAAAAAAATAAAAAAAATGTTATCTTTCAGGTGAATAAAAATATCCCCTTTCTTTCAGATGACCTCTGAATAGAAGGCCTACTAACCCTGGTCTTTCTACCACAGGAATTCAGAATTAGATTTTACATGTAGATGCAAATTATGTCTATAATACTGGACTTTAGATCTTACCTAATTTGGACATTTAGCATTGGGTCAGAATCTCTCAGGAACATTTCTTTGTTCATAAAACAAGAGGGTGTATAATAAGCCATCTTTCTTTGAAGATTTTCTAAACCAGGTGAATAACAAATGTATTTGGCTTGGTCAAATAAAATTTTTTTTTGAAACCAAAACCTAACAAATCATTCTTAAAGACCAAATCATAAAAGGGTTTGAATGCGTGTGGATTGAAAGCACTTGAAGAACGTTAAGATGATTTCCATGAATCATATTTCATTTTTCACTTCAGGTGGTTAGAAGAAGATGCTGCACTCACCTCACCAACTCGAGAGAGATAAGTTTTCTCCTCCCCCGGGGTGCCAGTAAATCGAATTTCTTGCACAGATATTAGCTGTAAAGTATTTATAATTCTATGTACTTTATGAAGGCTAAATTCCAAGCGATGCCTTTCAAGTATTAATATGCAGCAGGAATAGATTTCATCTGACATTTCATCAATCATAGCTCTGTAACCAATCCTGGGTCATGAGATGAACTGAGAGTCATAATACTGACCCTCAGGCACTATCTGATCCTCTCCTGGATCTGAAGTCATTAGTGATAGCTGAAATCACAAGCCTCTCCACTGGCTAGTGAGTTTTCACTTAGACAAGCCATGTTCTCAGATACCTAGCTTTGGCTACTCTGCTTAGAAGCATGTGCATTATCAGGGTTACCTACCCACAGGCAAAATGATGAGTACAAACATCACGTTTTTCTGTTGTACTCATGATTATTATTGGAAAATAGGTAATTTACTGAGGTAAATTGTCTGTATTGATTAAATGGGTCTTTGGTCAAACAGCATGACTTCTCAAATATATATTTCAAAGGAGGCCTAGCAATCTGAAGGTCCTGAGTTCAATCCTTAGTACCACATACACACACAAAACTAAACAAAAACCAAAAAAGCTTGTTGTCTTTTGAAACTTGGGTGGTAGTTACCAGAGAAGGGGGTGGGGTCAATCATCTATGAATGTCATCACCTTTGGAGATTATTTGTCTGAGGATGAGGACAGATCTTCAACACAGAGTGAAAGAGTTGGAAATATGGCATTAGTGGTGCTTTCCCAGAGCATGAAGCTCTGGGTTTGATTCCTCAGTACCACATAAACAGAAAAAGCCAGAAGTGGCGCTGTGGCTCAAGTGGCAGAGTGCTAGCCTTGAGCAAAAGAAGTTTAGGGACAGTGTCCAGGCACTGAATTCAAGCCCCAGGACTGACAAAAGCAAAGAAACCAATAGTGAAACATTACTTTTAACAATAGATATCCATTTATGCTGCTTTAGAAACAATAGATATCCATTTTGAAAGGGGCTGGGAATATGGCTCAGTGGTAGAGTGCTTGCCTAGCATGCATGAAGCCCTGGGCTTGATTTCTCAGTACCACATACACAGAAAAAGCTTGAAGTGTCACTGTGGCTCAAGTGGTAGAGCACTAGCCTTGAGCAAAAGAAGCTCAGGGACAGTGCCCAGGCCCTGAGTTTAATTAAGCCCTAGGACTGGCAAAGAACAAATCAACTCCCCCAAAACAACAAAAAGCAGCAAAAAATAAAAAAGCAGCAAGCCTTAAAACCTAGTGTGATTTCAGAAATTTTTACATTTTGTCAACTAATAAGGTTGACAGTTCCCTATTTCACACATTCCTACTAATATTGCTATCAAGATTCCTGCATTTTTACATTTGCAGAAACACTCAAGTTGTTTGCACTACTTTCAATAGGAATTAATGGGTACTCATACAAGGTTTTGCCTATGAGCAAAAATGTTAAGTTCATCTGGTGAAGAATAAGAATGTTTTTTTTTTTTTTTGTTCTAAGTTCTGCAACCATTGGTGCATCGCTTAGGATGTATATGTTCCCCGGCAGAGAGAGGAGTTTATGGGCATATGGAATCTGTGCAATGTGGATTGCTTTTGTTGTCACTTGGGCAGTTGCCAGAAAGCTTTTTTTTTGGCCATCATTTGGCTTTGAAGGAATTCTTTCATTAGAAGATAAGCTCCATGAGAGAAAGGTCTTTGTCTATTTTATTCACTCCCAGCTCCTACAACAATGCTGACTGAGCACGTTGAAGGTGCTCAGTCAATTAAGTGAAAGAATGGCCATCTGGAAAATCTGTACTAGATCCTCATTCATTGTAGAACTGGCAGCAGTTCCTTCTGACTCCAGCAGTTCCAGTAGGAAGGAGTGGAAATGACTGTTTTAGAAGCCACTTACCTTTTGGGAGGAGGTCTTTCATTAAGCATATGTCACATAGGACAGCTCTATACTCACCAAGACAGACCTCTTCAATCTTTCTGGAACAGGCTAGAGAACACATATCTACAGTCTGGTCAAAATATTAGACAAACCAGAACACTCTATTTCTACATAATCCCACATAAGTAAGAACATTAGCAATGATAGAAAATATTTATTAAGTGCTTTTTTACACAAAGTGTTGTGCAATCCAGCAAGCCTTTGAAATAGGCACTCAACATTCCTGTTTTCTAGGTAAGGCAGCCTAGAGAGAGTAAGCGACATCCTCAGTATCATTCTGCCATTAGTATTGGACTCAGATCCACTGAAGCTTGAGTCTGGGCTCTTAAAGGCTATATTCCCCTGCCTATTTCTGTCCATGATATTTTATGATGGAATTTATATACAGAACTTTGAATCATGAAACTTGAAAAGGAGTTCCTCATAACAAAGGTTCAACTCTGTGTATGTAGAAAGTTAGGATCCTTACCTCATCTTTCAGTCCCTTGGCAGCTCTCAATTCTCCTTTAAGCTTTAGCATTTTGTGAGCTTTGTTATAAACCTGAAAAAGTCCAAGTGTTTAAGATGGAAAAAGCATAAATGAGTCCAGCCCTTTAAAAAACTTTCCCAGCTGGATCTGTGCCCTCAGCAGGAGGTTTGGAAAATTTTCCTAAACTGCTAGCAATACTGACTTTTCTTACCCATCTGTTTGTGTTTTCAAAAGTGTTAAAACACTCACTAGGGAAGCAGACCCATGGTTTTGCATCCTTTCCAAAAAACCACTGCTCTTTGGTTTCTGAATTCATCTATCTTGGGATCCGAAAGGTCTGAACTGAGCTTACTTTTTAAATTTCTAAGTATCCTGTAACTCAGATATAGTGAAATGCTGCGTACTTTTTAATGAACAAAACAGGACGTACGGGACCCAACTTCATACTCACACAACTCTTGAGGAGGTGTTATTGTCACCATCGGTTTACAAAGAAGAAAACCAAGGCTTAGGAAGGCGAAATGGCTTACCCAAGGTTACACAACATAGGCTGTTTTACCACTCTAGGAAGCTCTCCCATTTATTTGTAACTATTAACTTGAAATGTCTGATGATGTGAAGCATCAGCTTTCCATAAAGCTGGTGCTTATGAAGGTAGGATTCATATACAGTGCTGAGAATGATATAAAAAACTTCCAAGGACACCCAGGATTTTGTGTAAGTGTACGATGATGCATTTGAGGTCATAATGCACTGAACTTACTAAAATTATCTAATTCATTACGGTTTTAATTGTAACACGAGGGCAGATTTCCACCAAGGACTTACCTGCAGAATAGTTTCAAGAATGAGAAGCTATCAAAATGCTCATTCTTTGTAATGAACCACATCCCTCCCCCACTCCAATATAGGCCAAGAGGAGGAAAGAATGTTGTCGATCCATGGAATCTGGAATGTTTTAAGAAGTTGTGTTCAGATTTCACACATTGTGTACTCTCCCTGAAGTCTTCATGCATGGAGATGCATCATGGGACTGATGATGTTGTTCAGGCTTACCTGGAGGGAATAAGTTGGGTGATGTCTCAGTAACAGGCAAACCCCAAATGTTGGTGGCTTACAGCTATGAAGATTTCTTTTCACTCATACTACATGTCCCAGAGTCATCTAAGACTGTGCTCCATATTGTCCTTAGATGGTAGAACCTCTATTATATTGTACATTGCCCGTTGCTATGGCAGCAGGAAGAGAACTTGGTGAATGATCTCCTGCTTCTTAAAGCGGCAGCGAGGCACCTCACTTCTGTTCACATTTCATTGACCCAAACAAATAGCCATGCTTGGCTTTATCTCCCAAAGGCAGTATTGGTGAACATTATCTATGAATTCTACATCAGGCAAGTGAGACTGAAATAATGTGGTGGCAGTGTGAGGAGGGTTCACATTTGTAATTTTAGGTACTTGGGAGGCAAAGGTATGGAGGACTATACTTTGAGGCCAGCCAGGGGGCTGGAAGCGGGAGACTTCAGGAGACTACCATTAAAAGCTGGATGTAGTGGGCTGTCTGTCATCCCAGATATGTGGGAAGTGTGACTAGAAGGAAAAGGTCCAGGCTGGCCCTGTACACACTGGGCAAGACCTTGTTTCAAAAATAACCAAAGCAAAAGGGGCTGGCAAGTGTGGCTCAAGTGGCAGAGGCCCTGAGTTCAAATCCTATATCCTGAAGAGTGACTTTGGGGAATGCCTCATCTCTGTAAGTTTTCATTTCTGCCCTTAGAAATGAGGTGAATTACTTTTGAGATCTCTCCAACTGACTCAGAGTTATGCCATGATGGATATATTTCTTTAGTGAGAATTATAAACTCAGCCTGAAGCATCACACAAAAGTTATAATGGAAAAAATGTATCTTGAAGATGATATTTCTTTATAGGAAGAGCTCCTTGATCAGCACTAGGCGATTATTATTTGTTAATGCTGGTCCTGGGGTTTGAACTCAGAGCCTGGGCTCAGTCCCTGAGCTTCTGTGCTCAAAGCCAGTGCTCTAGCACTTGAGCTACAGCTCCACTTCTGGCTTCTTTTTTGGATGACTAATTGGAGGTAAGAGTCTCAAAGGCTTTCCTGTCCAAGCTAGCTTCAAATCATGATCCTCAGATCTCACTCTCCTCAGTAGCTAGGATTATAGGCATAATCCACCAGTACCCTATGATTTTTAAATAAAATCACCAGTAGGTGATTTTTAAACAAAACCTTATCACAATATAAAACAAGGATTTTTCTAGACTATCACTGCAAGGGCCAGGCATATTTCAAAGGAGAAGTAGAATGTATAGGTCTTAATATTTGTGTAAAAATACACTGGATTTTACTAAGTAAAACAAACCAGAGGAAAAAATATCTGAATTTTGTTCTGTGAAGGAGACAGAGGAATTCTGTGAGCTATTAGGTACAGGAGTGGATAATTTGGAAGTGCTTATGTGAAAAAGAAAAGAGGTCTGTATGATACATTTTTGATGCATTTGGCAGTAGTGTTTGCCAGATGAGTAGGAAAGAACGCTTAAGGGTGGCTGCAGGTTTTGTGAAATGATCCTGTAGTACATTCACAAGGCTCTCTGAGGTGTGCAGCTGGACAAGATTTTTGTACAAGGGAAAAACTCCTTCCGGAGGGAATGAGGTGCTTTACCAGATCCCTAGCTACTGATTCTCTGGGTCTTGGGCTTTGTTATTGTTGTTGTCTTTTCCCAAATCCTTACTCTTAAATCTTCCTGTCTCCCCTACATAATCTTTCTTCATGCCTCACCTCCTACATTTACCCAGGGAACTGCTTGTTTTCCTAAGTTTTCCATCTGTTTTCCAAAGAAGACCTTCTCTTGGTGACAGCTTTATTACCCCCCCCCCCCAAAAAAAAGAGTATAGTGCAATGCTTAGAACTTCTAGTGATGCTTTGTGCTTACCTTCAGCCTAACCTCAGAGCATCTTATACATATAAAGCAAACACTTATACATATAAAGCACGCACCTGGGTGACTAGTGTAGCTGGCAAGAAACTCAGGTAAAAGTTAACTACTTTTCTATTATTCAACCTTGTTATTGAGCTTCATTTCCATCATATAGCAAAAATCATATGCAATCTTCTTTCTAAGAAAGTGCTGCCATTTTCAGGTTGAAAACAAATCATTTTATCCTTCTCTCAAACTCTCTTAAGGTCTTTTGAGAGTATATGCAAGTTCCAGGATTAGGTTTTTCTCCAATACTTCGCCTCCTATCAAGGCATTAAGTGTTCTGAATCCCAGAGCTCTTAATTATTGAAATGAATCATTTCAACATGTTGTCTATTTCTATTTTTTTAAAAAAAATATGTGAACACTATAAATTGACCAAACCAGCTTTAAAAGAGAAAATCTCTAGACTTGGAAGAGGTGGTGGTGGTAGGAACAGATGATGCTGGAGATGTTTTTGCAGTGTAAAGTCTTCCATAGTGACAGGGAAGCAAAACCTAATGCCCAAAAGACTAACTGGGTTCTAGCCCAAGCTGAGGTCTGACATTTTTCTACAGAGAAAAATGGGGCCTGGAGAAGGGGGTCTTAGGATTTAATAGACTCAGTCTTAGGTGAAATTCTCTTCCTAGGTACCTCTTGGTACCTTTCACATGGGCTGTTGATTGCTTCTTCCAGTACGGATACTCGTATTTTCCTGAGAACTGGCATACTCATGTACTCATAGAAGGCTGAGTCTCAGTCTCTCTTGCAACTGGGTATGATTATGTCTATGTTTGGGTTATTGAAAAAGAATACTGCAGAGGACTTCTAGGAAATCTCTGAGAGGCAGTGCACTGCTCTTTGTTCCTTTTCTTCTCCCCAGTTGCTTGCAATGCCCAGCTAACGCTGCAGCATCCATGTGACACATGAGGGGATGCCCGCGGAGATGGAAGGGCTCCATGTCCTTCGTGGTGTGGAACCACCATGCCCATTCTGGGCAGAGGGCCGTGTCCGTCCTGTTTGACTCACTCGTATTTTCATTTTCCTGTTGTAGAATTTAATGGGAGTGGGCAACATTTGTGTTCCTCTCAGGGTAAAATTCTCTACAACTCATGGCCCCATTTCTAGCACCTCCACTGGTGGCATAATGCACAGCAGTCGGTATGTCGTAGACATACGGACCAGCTTTTTGGCCTCTACAGGTATTTTTGTCAAATACCTTTCCCTTCTGTCCACATCCCCTCCAGCATCTATTGTTATTAGAATTCTTGATTACAGCCATTCTAACTGGGGTGAGGTGGTATCTCAATGTTGTTTTGATTTGTATTTCATTTATGGTTAGAGAGATTGAGCATTTCTTCATGTGTCTATTGGCCATCCTTCTTTCCTCTTCAGAGAAGTTTCTCTTTAAGTCTTTAGCCCACTTATTTATTGGGCAGTT